TAAAAATAACCGGCTCATATTTTAGACAGCCCTAAAAATAGGCAGCGCTGTTGGAGTGGCCAAACACTCCCAGGAATTTCCTGTGGGCTGCGGGCCGCTTGCAGGGGGGTCCGGGCTCGGCTGGCCGGCATCGCTCCGGAGTTTGCTTCCCTGGTGATGGAGAGGTGACCCCCACCGGGCCCCCCAAAGCACGGCGGGATTCGTCCCGGCTCCTTCCCTGCGCCAGGCAGGACGGGCTTAACCCTCCTCCAGCCATCGTGCCACATCCCGAGGGATCTGGGTGGCTTGGAGCGAGGGTTCCAAACGCACGGGAGGAAAGCGCAGCCTCTGCAGCCGGCAGCGGAGCGTCTCCTTGCGGTGATCCCGCGGGAAGATGAACGCTGGCTTGGATGGAGGGATTGATCCCAGGGTGGCGTTCGAGGAGTGGGAAAGGCTCTCCTGCGATGGAGGGATCTCCCTGCTCGCCCCGGGGACGAGCGGTGCCGGGGCAGGGCTCGGGGGCGTCACTGCGGGCGGAGCCGCTGGGTCACAGCCCCGGGGCTGGACCGGGACAGGGACTGCGGCACGAGTGGGGCTGGGATTGCCCCGGGAATGGGGTTGGGATTGCCAGAGCAGTGGGAATCGGAATGCCAGAGGAACGGGATTGTGACTGCAAACCAGGATTGAGGATTGCAATGCGGTTGGACCCAGGTTTGCATCCCTCGAGATGCAAAGAAGAATGGGATTGGGATTGCAACCCAGACGGATCTGGGGTTACAGCCCAAAAAAACGGGTCCAAAACTGCGACCTAGGTGGGTCCAGGATTCCAAAAGGAGTGGTTCTGGGATTGTAGCCCAAATGGATCTGGCATTGCCATGCAGATGGACCCAGGTTTGATTCCCTGTTGGGTGTGATATTGCAACAGGAATGGGGTTGGGATTGCAAAAGGAATGGGTTTGGGATTGCAGCACAGATGGATTTGGGATTGCATTGCACCTGGACCGAGGTTTGAATCCTTGATGGGTCTGTGACTGCAACCCAAATGGCTCTGGAATTGCAAAGGAATGGATTTGGGAATACAGATAGATGGGTCTGGGATTGGAACCCAAATGGGCCCAGGATTCCAACACAGATGGGACCCAGAATGGCAAATAAACGGGCCTGGGATCGCAACCCAGAGTGCTGCAGCCCAGCTGGGCCTGGATTTGCAGTCCAGGTGGGTTTGGGATTACAAACCAAAACACCCAGGATTGCAAACAGAAGGGTCTGGAATTGGAATCCAGATGGACCTCGATTAGCAACCCATTTTGTTCTGGGACTGGAACCCAAATGGATCTGGAATTGCGTCAGAAATTAGTCTGGAATTGGAATCCAAATAAAACAGGGATTGCAACAGAAGCATACCTGCATGAGGATTCTAGGCAGAGCCCAGGATTTTATCCCTGATGGATCCCAGTTTGGAATGCTGATATGCCCAGGCTTGCAACTGAGATGAGTTTGGGATTGCAGCCCAAATGTGTCTGGGATTACCACCAGAATGAATCGGGAATTGGAGCTTAGAACAGCCCAAGATTTCAATCCAGATGGCTCTGGTATTGCAATGCAGATGGATCCAAACTTGCAACAAAACCGGTTCTAGGATGGCAGCCTAAAGGAATCTGAGATTACAGCAGAAATGGATCTAGGATTGGATCCCAGAAGAGCTCAGGACTGCAACCCAAATAGATCTGGGATTGCAAATCAAATAAACCCAGCATGCCAACAGCTGGGATGACCAGGGCACTGCAGTTGCAGTTGCAGGAGCTGCTGCCTTGAGAGCAGCCTCGTTACCTGTTTGCAATTAGCATTCCCTCTTCCCTGATCCCTGGGTGCATTGACAGCTGCTGCAGCTCTCATTACATGCCCCGAGTGGTCCGTTCTCTGCCACGCACCCTTCCCGGGGTGAGATGCTCATCATCCTCATTTCCAAGAGGAAATTTACTGGCTGCAATGGAAGGATGCAGCTCTGCTGCACGCCGTTGCTGTGGAAACGGGGTGAGCGGCTAATTAGATTTAATTAACGGAGCAGGAGGGGAGCGTTACAAACAGATCTGGGCAGGATGCATCACCCGGCCACCAGGGATGTGGGTGCTGAGGTGATGATGCCGTGGGGGAAAGGGAGTGTGCCTCAGTTTCCCTGTCTGCAAGGTCAGGGAGGGGTGATATTCACACCCATGGAGCCCCTAAGGATGCTCAGCACCCCAGCATCATCCGCGCATCCCCCCTCCCCAAAAAATCGCAAGCCCCCAAGAAAGCTCCCACCCCACACACCCCACCCCCAGCATCCTCCCTGGGAAAAGCCTTTCCAGCAGCATCCCTCGGCGGGATCCGCGCGTGTCCGTGTGGGCTCGGCTGTGCCTCCCGCGCTCCCACCGCTGCCTCCCGCCCGTGCCTGGGCAGCTCCGGGGACCCTGGCGTGGCCACGGACGCAGGCGCAGCCTCGCACCCCGCAGCCGCTCTGCGGGAGGGCTGTTCGTACATCCCCGTAGTTCCACATCCACACCAAACCCCGGCGATATAAATAGCGCCTCGCTTTTTATTCCCCTCCCCGCCGCATCCCGGCGCAGCGTTCCGGCTCGGGCGGACACCTGGGGATAGAGGCAGAGGGATAGAGAGGGAATTTCTGCGCGATTCCTTGGGCCGCGTGGGACGGACCGACCCCCGGGACCCGCATGCTGCAGATGGTGAGGACTCTGGCGCAGTTCACCATCGCGCTGGAGGACATGCGAGACATCGGGGACGGCATCGACGCGGCCTTCGCCACCTCCGGGCTCAGCGGCGCGGCCGAGGAGCTGCCGGAGAAAAGCTGCGGCAGCCGCGGTGGCACCGAGGTGATGGCCAAGGGGGTCCCGGGCACGGGGCGGGGGGGCGCCGGTGGGATGCGGGGGTGAGGTGGGGGTGCATGGATGCGTCATGTTTGGACACGTGTGCGGAACCCGGCACCTGTGGGGTCTGCGCCGCGATTGCCGTGGCAACGGTGCCTCCATCCTCATCCTCAGCTCGACACCCCCGGGGTTCTCTGGGTTGCGGGGAAGGGGGGATGCTGCCCCCGGAGAGGGTGATGGGGGGGGCCGGAGCCATCGCTGCCACCGCCCCCCCCCCAGTGCTGATTTACACGGCGGAGGCGTCGGCTGGTGGGAAATGCCCCCATTCCCATGGCGGCAGGGGCTGGTCCCCGGGGGTGCTGAGCATCTCGGGGGAGGCAGGATGAAGCCGGGGTGAGGCGGGGGCGTCCCCAGGGAGAGCAGATGGAAGACTGAAGCATCATCAGCCCCCCGGCGGAGAGGCTTTGCTGGGATAAGCAATGCAGTGGGGCACATCCTGCCCTTGCCCATGGATCGCTGTGCCCTGCTGGGATGGTGCCTTACCCCCAGCTCCTGCTCATCCCAGTGGGAATTTGCCCCTGCCGGGGTAATACAGGTGCTGTAACAGTGGAAAAAATCCCCTTGCCAACAGTTGGGCCTCATCCTGCATCTCCCCACTGCTGCTGGTGCAGGGTCTGGTGCTGAGCCTGTTCCTGACCCTTTGCTCTGGTCCTGAGCTGGGACGGCTCCAGGGAAAAACAGGAGCAGCAGGGAATTACAGGTTGGGTGAGGGTTGGGGAAACTGAGGCAGTTTGAGACATCAAATTCCCCCCTAAGCTCCGTCCTCCAGTGAGTGCCTGTCTGGCCATAATTACAACAAATTAATCCGGCAGTGAGAGTGTTTTTAGGCCTTCTAACCAAGTGGGGAGGTCTCAGCTAGTGTCCCCAATATCACCATGGTTTCCTGGTTCCTGGAGAGGCTTGGACCCGTCACCAATATTTGGCTCTAGGCAAGAGTTTCCTGCATGCTTGGTTCCATCAGCAGCCTGGTGGGCAGCAGGGAAACTGAGGCACAGCTCTGTCCTAGAGCAATGAGCAGGATCTGACCAGGATCCCTCTCCATTGCTCCCTGGGGACCACGAGGGGCATGGTGGCCTCTCTCCATGGTGAGGATGGTCAAACTTCTTCCTGCGGCTGCAGAGCAGTTTCACAGCTCATCGTGTCCCCAGTGGGGAGGACACAGCCCCATGTGTCCAGGGGCTCATCCCACAAGACTGAGGACATTTGGGGTGTCTCACATCCAGGGTCTCTGGAGATTCTGCACATGCAAAATTTTTGGAGCATCTCTGCACCAAAAGCCTTTGGGATATCTCTGCACCCGGACTCTCAGAGCACCTCCACATGCAAAACCTTTGGAGTGTCTCTGCATCCAGAATCTCTGTAGTGTATCCAAACGCTGAATTCTGGGGGTGTCACTGCACCTCTGGAGCATTTCTGCACCCAAAACTTTTGGGGCCCAGGGCCCTTGGGGCATCTCTCACTGAAATCTCTTGGGGTGTCTCACACCCAGCAGCGTTGAAGCATTTCACACCCAGAGCTTTTGGGGCTTCTCTGCACTCAGGGCCTTTGAAACACCTTGCACCCAAGACTTTTGGGGTGTCTCATGCCCTGGGCTCTGGAGCATTGGGCCCCCAGGCTGAGCTGAAGGCAGTGCACACAACAGGGGTCCCTGAGCCCCGCAGCCAAGAAGACCCCGACCCATCTGGTGCTGGTGGCCCATCCCACCCCATTAATCCGCCTCCCTTGGGGCCACAGCCCAGCCCAGGGTGCCCGGGGTGCTGGGCGGGAGGCGAATTCCTGCGGGTCCGCTCGGAGCGGAGCCGCTGGAGAGGCAGAGGACTCCGGCACCGACCCATGTAGGGCTGTGAGCTCCAGGGCGGGCTCCTGACGCGGCCGCCGAGGAAACCAGGCGTCTGTGCGCTCGGTGTCATGTACTTCCTAATCCTCCCGGATTCCTCCATCGGGGTGGAGAGGCAGCGCAGGAGAGCTGGACGCCAGCCGGGCTCCTCCGGTGTTCAGCCTCTCCAGCCAGCCCCGGCGCCGGCCCCGACCCCCGGCACGCAGCTCCCCCGCCCCGGGTCACCCCAAAACACTCGTGTGTCTTTCCTCCCCGGGCAGGACATGAGGAAACACGTCATCATGACCCTGCTGGACACCGAGCAGTCCTACGTGGAGTCCCTGCGCACCTTGATGCAGGTAAGGTGGCGCGGCCGGGGTGTGACACCCCCAACCGTGGCGCGGGGTCACCGTGGCCACCCCAAGTCGGAGCCTGGGCTGTGGGTGCTGTACCAGGACCTGTGTGGATCGGGGTGACAGGGGGGATATTTTGGGGACAGAGGAAGCAGAAGTGGGAGCACTGTGAAGCAGTGCCAAGAACGGGGTGTGAGTGTGGGAGTTACCTCCATCCCCATGGCGAGCCTGTAACATTCCCAGTGTGTTGTCACCTGGAAGGTATCATGTCCCCCAGTCTCTTGCTGTGCTTGCCTTACAAAAGCTCTTCCTGAAGTTGCACCCCATCTCCTGATGGCCCTGCCGTGATGGGGGACCCCTGAAAACCCCTGTTCCCTCGTGCTCCCGTTTCCTGCTCGGATATTCACCTGCAGACCTGAGCCAAAGGTTTTTCTCAGGCTTTTTTGCTGAGCTGGTTCCAAACCCCCTGGAGCAGCCTGGCCGGAGGGTCCAGCCCACGTTTCAGATGTTAATGAAGGTGTTTCAGCAGGTTAATGATGGTCAACGCCCTGGAGACGTCACCTGGCAGGGGTGTGGGTTGTCCACCCGAATCCCTGCCGGGGAAACACCAAAAACTCGGAGCTCTGCAAAAGCAGTGCCTGTGGGACCTCTGTGACAGTCCACAAGGGCATGGGGCACTCCATCCCAGCACTGCCATAAATCCCGTAAATCCCCCATAAGGATGCCCCCATGGTGGGCACAGATGTGCTGCAGGGGGGAAGGACCCACAGGTTGCTGCCAGCGCAGACCTTGGCTTAAAGGGGCGAGCGGACCCTGGCTCTGGGGCAGATTTTGGGTAGAGCTCTACAGGATTTGGGGTTGGGGGGTGTCCCTGCTGGTCTTGGCATGCACAGAGTCTGTGCATCCTCTGAAGTGGGAGGGACACGGGTGGGAGCTCCAGGTGTTTCCAGCTCCCTGTCTCAGCTGGGACAAGGTGCTCAGATGCTTGACGTGGCTTGGTGGCACATGGCACGGGACCACCTTGGAGCATCATCTTCCAGCCAAGCCAGGTGGTACATGGGCAAGCCCTGCCTGCTGTTCCTGTGTGCTGCAGCAAGGGCTGTCTCCGTGCTCTCCTTCCCCACGTGGGAAGCACAGGATGCATGGAACAATCCATCCCAACCCTGCTGGAGGTGCTGCACACAGTACGATAGGTGAAGAGGGTTAGGAGCTTCAGGATGGTTTTGGTCTTTCTAACTTGGGTCTCCATGAGATATCTGGCATCAGCTTGAGGAACCTGATCCTTGGGGATTCCTCCTTTGCCGGCTTGGTTGGAGAGGTCTGAAGCCACTCAAGATGGGTCCTGTCCTCACTGCTCAGCTGTGTGGTTCTCCACACATCCTGAAAGCCACCAGCACCCTGTACTGAGGGTCTGACTGAGGGGGTGGCAAGGCTTGAGAGGAACTTCCACATCCTGCTACACCCCCTGCAAATCTATCTCTCCCATTCCAGGGCCGCTGCTCCACTCTGCAGCTCTGGAGGGAGGGCAGGGGTTTCATAGCAGAGCCACCCACCCAGCCTTGCTGAGGACCTGCTGGCCCTGAGTGTTGCTCATTAGCCATTGTGTGGTGGTCCAGGTCACGATCCAGCAGCTGCATCCTTCTGGTCCAGCCCTTCCTGGTTCCAAACACCCTCAGTCCCACCTGGAACACACCGGCATTTGGATCCTGGGGTTGTGTTGCTGTGATTTCCAGGCTAGGTTGGGCAGATGGAGGTGATGAAGGTTCATGAGAGCCAAGATGGCTCTTAAGGCCCTGGGACAGAGGATCCTGTGCTATGTGGATTCCTTGTGCAGACCTGCCCCCCTCCCCACACAGCTGTGGGCATTCACTGAGTGAGAGGCTGGGTTGCAAAACCTGTCTGGTCCTGCTGGCAGGACCCACAACCCAACATCCCCTGGAGGAACCCTCTGCTGCAGGATGCCATCCATCCCCTTATCTACATGGACTGAGGGATCCAAACTGGCTGGGGAGGGAGAGCTCCATGGATCCCCCCATGCTTGCCCGCAGGGTTACATGAAGCCGCTGAAGCAGCCAGAGAACTCCCTGCTGTGCGACCCTTCGCTGGTGGACGAGATCTTCGACCAGATCCCCGAGCTGCTGGAGCACCACGAGCAGTTCCTGGAGCAGATCCACGACTGCGTGCAGAACTGGCACGAGAAGCAGAAAGTGGGCGACCTCCTGGTGCAGTCGGTAGGTCCTGGCAGGGTGATTCCCCCGGGAATGCGGGTGTGCCCGCTCCTGGGCACGGCCCCAGAGCAGAGGTTTCGGAGCAGGAGGCAGGGGAATGATGAAAGGATAGGCCAAGCAGGCCTGGGATGGAGAACAGGAGACGATCTCCAGGCCTGCTGTCTGCTTAGCATAAGGGTGGGAGCTGCTGCTCCCGGCTGGCTCTGCAGCTCCGTGTTTCTGCCTCAGGAGCACAAACGTCAGGGCTGAAAAATCGAGGTGGGCGGACAGCGGGTGAGCCCTCCCTGTGCCAGCCCAGAGCCAGAGTTAACCCTTGGGGCAGCTCCTTCCAGGCTCTCCCAGTATGTCCATGATCCATGCTGGATCTAGCCCTGTTTTTCCCTCCCAGTTCTCCAAGGATGTGCTGGTGAACATCTACTCTGCCTACATTGATAACTTCCTGAATGCCAAGGATGCCGTCAGGATCGCCAAGGAAGCCCGGCCGGCTTTCATGAAGTTCCTGGAGGTGGGTCCTGGTTCCTGCCTCCACAGATCCTGCCCACGATCTAAAGCCAGGCAGGATGGGAGCTAATGGGAGTAAATTTATTGCCACACTGAGAATTTCCACCCCCACCTTCTTGGTTTTGTTGCAAAGAGGGTCAGTTGGGATGAAGCAGAATCCCTCTGGATGATGCAGAAGGAAGTGACCCCAAACCAAAATGGGTGATCCTGGGTTAGTGGGAGGCTGTGTCCCTGCTGTGTTCCACCAAGGGGCCCATCGTTGTCCCTCACGGGTGTTTTGCAGCAAAGCATGCGGGAGAACAAGGAGAAGCAGGCCCTGTCTGACCTGATGATCAAGCCGGTGCAGAGGATCCCACGATACGAGCTGCTGGTGAAGGTGGGTGACACCAGGGTGTCACACCAATGATATTGCCAATGTCTAGGCATTGCCAGAGGTGACGCCCTGGCTCTGTCCCCGTGGCAGGACCTGCTGAAGCACACACCTGAGGACCACCCCGACCACCCCTTCCTCATCGACGCCCAGCGCAACATCAAGCAAGTGGCTGAGAGGATCAACAAGGGCATGAAGAGCGCAGAGGAGGTGGAGAGGAACGCCAGGATCGTGCAGGAGATTGAGTCCCACATCGAAGGGATGGAGGATGTATGTATGGGGGGCCTTAGAGGGGGTCACCCTTTCCTTCTCCACAAAATGTCCTCATTTCTGCTCCTTCTGGGTCACCCCAGGCTGGGTCACTTGTTTTCTCCTCCAGCTTTCCTCGTCATCATTTGGCCTTGATGGGCTCTTGGGGGTATGGGAAGGGACTGGGGTCCCAACTCTGAGCTGGGGGATGCAGGGGCAGGGACCAAGGCCACAAAGCTCCCCACCATGGCTTCCCACCCACGGGTCTCCTTGTCCCCACAGCTCCAGGCTCCGCTCCGCAGGTTCCTGCGCCAGGAGATGGTCGTGGAAGTGGTAAGAGCAGGGCCTGTGGGGCCATGGGACCACTCACTGGGTGGGCACTGGGAGGCTGTGGGAGGATTGCAGGTCATGGGAGGCTATGGATGGATGGTTGGATGGATGGGACAGACAGATGGAAGGGCAAGGCAGCACATGGGGAAACTGAGGCAGGGCCCTCTCTCAGCACTGGTACAAAGGAGGGATGGCCATTAACCCGCTGGTGTCTCCCACTGCTCCACAGAAGGCAGTGGGTGGGAAGAAGGACCGCTCATTCTTCCTCTTCACGGACCTGCTGGTGTGCACCACGCTGAAACGCAAGTCGGGCTCGCTCCGCCGCAGCTCCATGAGCCTGTGAGTACCCCCAGGCTCGGGGACAGCCCCTGCGTGTCCCTGACAGCTGGCCTGGCTTTAGGGGGCTGTGGCTGTGAGTGCAGCTCGGCCATCCCCCCCAACCTCCCAGGTACACTGCAGCCAGCGTGATCGACACCGCCAGCAAGTACAAACTGCTCTGGAAGCTGCCCCTGGAGGATGTGGACATTGTCAAAGGTCTGTCGCTGCCTGTTGGAGTGTCCCATCTCAGTCCAAAACCCATCACTCCCCCTGGCTGGTAGTGTCAGGGAGAGAGGGGTTAATGCTGTGCGTGTGTCCCCACACAGGTGCCTCACAAGCCACCAACAGGGAGAGCATCCAGAAAAGCATCAGCCGCCTGGATGAGGACCTCAACACGCTGGGGCAAGTCAGCAAGCTGTCAGAGACCCTCAGCTTCCCCCACCAGGTATGGGAATGGCAGCCCTGGAGCCGTCCCCTGGTTGGATACATTCCCAGCAGGACCACACAGGATGTCCTCAGCATCAGAGAGGGGAGAACCTGTGGAAGGGCTGGTGGCCAAAAGTGCCCAGCCCTAAAGCCACAAAAGAAGTTGGGACGGTCTCTGAAGGATGCCAGGGGATAGACAGGGGGTTATCAAGCATGTGGCTTGCCGTGGCCTGTCCCTGAGACATGAAATGTTGTCCCTGTCCCAAGGGCCTGGATGACGTGATCAAGGACCTGATGGCCGCCATCCACCGGGAGCTGTCGGAGAAGCAGTCCCTGTCCTTCAGTATGGCCTTCCCCCCCAACAAGGTGGAGCTCAGCACCACCAAAGCTGATGGCACTGAGTCCTTCATCTTCGAGTTCCCCAACCCTGACGCCCGGCTCAGCTTCGAGCAAGCCTTCGAGGATGCCAAGAAAAAGCTGGGTAACAGCAGGGAGGGGGGAGATGGACATGGTGGCAATCTTGGCATCCCCCCACCCTTCTTTGCTAGACCCCTTTCCTCCATCACTTCTTGATCCCCCCATCTGATTTTCCCAGCTTCCAGCAGAAACTGCCTGGACCCTGAGTTCCTCAAAGCCATCCCCATCATGAAGACACGGAGTGGGATGCAGGTACTCAAAGTCTGGCTTCAAGCACCTCACAGGTCCTCTCCGTCCCAGTGTTTGCTAACAGATGCTGACAGCTCCTGCATCAGTCCTGAATAACCCAATCTTCTGCTCCCTGGCAGTTCTCCTGCGCTTCTCCCAGCCACGGCAGCCCGGAGAGCTCGCACGAGGTTTGGGTTTGCAACAGCGACGGCTACGTGGGGCAGGTGTGCCTGCTGAGCATCCGCAAGGAGCCCACGGTGGAGGCTTGCATCGCCGTCTGCTCCGCCAGGATCCTCTGCATCGCCTCCGTGCCCGGCCTCAAGCGCACCTACAGGTAGGACATTCCCCGGCCCCACGGAGCTGGCGGATGCAGGGCGATGCTGGAGCTGCTTCTCTCGCTTCCTTCCTTCCTCCCTCCCTCATCCGCGGCGGCAGCAGGGAGCGTGCGGAGCCGCTGGGCAGCCCCTCGGCCGAGCTGGGTCCGGCACAGCCGGAGGATGCGGGGCCGCAGCCGTGCCTGCACATCTCCATCTCGGGCTCGTCGCTGGAGCTCTCGGAGCCCGTGGAGGGCGGCAACAGGGAGCTGGTGCCCTTTGACAGCGATGACACGGATGATGAGTCCTCGCCCAGTCCCTCCGGGACGCTGCAGAGCCAAGCCAGCCATTCCACCATCTCCTCCAGCTTTGGCAGTGAGTCCTCCCCAGCCCCTGCTTAGGGAGAAATGCACTTTTTAGCCCCAAAATTATGGGTAGCTTCATTGTTTTGGCCTCTGTGCCTTGTATTCCTCAGGGCAATCTGCAGGTGGAGGCTTTTGAGCCTGGGAAAAGAGATACTGAGAGGCATCAGCTCAACAGTGTGGCACTGAGATGGGGGGGTTTGGGGTGAAACCTTGTGGGTTTTGGGGCTCAGCATCCCTATGCTGTCCCCTGGGCTTGATAACGCCCGTGGTCTCTTCTCCATCACTTTGGAGGGTGTTGGATGGTCGTGGTCTGACCCTTTCCTTCCTCCTCCTCCTCCCTCTCCACAGATGAAGAGATCCCGAGCTGCAAGGAGGCGACAGTAGAGACGACGAGCTCGGAGGAAGAGCAGGAGCCTGGTTTCATGCCCATCACGGGCACCTACGGGCAGAACCGGCACGGCGAGAGCCCCACGGACGGGCGGGCCCTGCGCCGCTCCAGCCGCGGCTCCTTCACCCGCGGCAGCCTCGAGGACCTCCTCAGCCTGGACCCCGAAGCCCACCAGAGCTCCATGTGGCTGGGCACCGAGGATGGCTGGTACGTCCCTGGGGTGGGAATCCCTACACGGGAAGGATGCCGGTCCTGGGGGAGCCTCAAGCTTTGCTCTCCTCCTGCAGCATCCACGTGTATCAGTCCTCAGACAACATCCGGAACAGGAAGAACAGCATGAAGATGCAACACGCTGCTGCTGTCATGTGCATCCTGTGAGTGGGGAAGTGGGATTTTCAGCTCTGCGGGGGCCAGAGTAGGGTTCTGCAGCTGGATGTCAAAGGTGGTCTGTCCCCACAGGTACCTGGATAACCAGGTGTTTGTGTCATTGGCCAACGGGGAGCTCGTTGTGTACCAGCGGGAAGCAGGTGAGGTTGGATTTGGGACTTCAAAAATGCAGCCACAAAGTGGTGGCTGTTGGGGGGTGGCTTGGGCAGCCTCTAGGGAGGGATGCTCAGGGTGGCTTCCCTGCTCCCAAGGAAGCTGGAGGAATGCTGGAGACACCACACCACACTCAGAGGCAGGTGGAGGTGGGCACTCTTCTCCTGGTCCCTGCCTGCCACTGGAACCCCATAGTGGCATCAGTTTATGTCCCCTCTGAGGGGTGACCTGGAGAAAGTTGTCTTCAGCCACTACACCCCATTGTCTGTATTGAGTTGGACTTATTTTGGGGAACTCTTTAACTACCCACCCCACTCTCCCCACCATCTCAGGCCGCTTCTGGGACCCCCAAAACTCCAAGTCGCTGTCCCTGGGCTCACCGGGGAGCCCCATCACCAAGATGGTGGCAGTGTCAGGGAAGCTGTGGTGCGGCTGCCAAAACCGAGTCATCGTCCTCAACACCACCACGCTGGCACAGGAGGTATGGTGTGGCATGGGAGGGCACGGGGGTGGCACCACGGGCAGCAGTGGCATCACCACGGCACTGCTGTGGCTCTGTTCCCCCCCACAGCACACGCTCCAGGTGGGGCAGGACGGCGGGCGCAGTGTCACCTGCATGGTGAGCGCGGGCAGCGGCGTGTGGGTCGCGCTGCAGGGCAGTGCCCAGGTCCGGCTGTACCATGCCACCACCTATGAGCAGCTGGCAGAGGCAGACATCACCCCCCCGGTGCACAAGATGCTCGCAGGTAAGTAACACCCGTGACACGTCTCCAGTGGGTGCCAAGTGCTCCCTGGAAAATGCCCTGAAGCATCCGGTGCTGGGAAATTTGGGATCCTGAGTTTGAGGAAGGAAATACGAGTGCAGCTGTGTAATCCCACATGGAAATAGGGCAGCCCCTGGGGAAATGGATAATCCCGTGTTGAAATGGGGCGGTAATCCCATAATCATAGAATAACCGGATTCCAGAATGGTTTCGGTTGGAAGGGACCTTAAAGATCATCTAATTCCAACCCTCTGCCATGGGCAGGGACACCTTCCACTATCCCAGGTTGCTCCAAGCATCAATGCCCAACCTGGCCTCGGACACTTCCAGAGATGCAGCCACAGCTTCTCTGGGCACCCTGTGCCAGGAACAGTTGGGAACAATTCCTGCCCAGTATCCCATCTAACCCTGCCCTCCGGCAGTGGGAAGCCATCCCCCCTCGTCCTGTCAACCCAATGTGATGCCAGCAGCCAGGGGGGCTGTGGGGTCCCGTGTGCCACAGACACCCCTGGGAAGGGATCCCTGCGGGCAGGGGGCGGGAGCAGGCGCTGATGTTTGGGATGTTCGGCAGGCTCGGATGCCATTATCCGGCAGCACAAGGCCGCCTGCCTGCGGATCACGGCGCTGCTGGTGTGCAAGGACCTGCTGTGGATCGGGACCAGCGCCGGCGTGGTGCTGACCCTGTCGGTGTCGGCCAAGGCAGCCCCCACGCTGGTGGGGCTGTCCCAGGGCCACACCGGCCACGTTCGCTTCCTCACAGCCATCGAGCTGCCTGACGGCTTTGATGTCCTCTTCCCGCTGCCCAGGGACACGGGTAGGTGGGGTGACAGGCGTGTCCCAACCGTGGCACATTTCAGGAGCAGAGCACAGCGTTCCTGGGGCTGGGAATGCTGCACTGGATGACCAGACTTGAAACGTCGGAGCCCCCGTTCCATTCTTACCTTGTTAAAATCCAAGGTGGAACTGGGTGCTAAGCTGCGCTCTACCAGCATGAGCAACCCCAGAATTCCCAGGGAGACCCAAATTCCCACGGTGTCAGCCAGCCCAGCTCTAAGGCAGGGGTGGGATGGGAAGAAGGAGGAGATGGGATGGGGGCTAGCCGGTTTGAAGGGAGGAGCTAACACGGGTTACAGGAACCGGTTTGGGGTGGGAGGGGCTGTTGGGATGAGAGGAGGTTTTTGGGGCCAGGATGTGGTGCCTGGGAAAGCGGTGGAGGGTTGATGCTGGTGGGGATCTGGTGGGGGCCTGCGGAGCTGCAGGGGCGCGGGTGGCAGCATTTGGGGTTCTGCGCTTGCCAGGGGCCGAGAAGCCGAGCGAGGCCGAGAAACGAGACCCGTCCCGCCCCCGTGCCCCCGCCCTGGCGCTGTCCAAGCCCAAGATGTTGGTGATCAGCGGCGGGGACGGCTACGAGGATTTCCGGCTGACCAGCAGCAGCGAGACCGTGGGCCGGGACGACAGCACCAACCACCTCCTGCTCTGGAGAGCGTGACCAGCCCCTGGCCCCCAGGAACGGGGGGTGCTGGACCCCCTGTGTGCAGAGGGGGGGTCCCGGCCCCCTTCCCACCGCCCCCCGCCCCAGCACCTCTCATCTCCGACCCGGCTGCTCTCTGTGTGCTCGGGGTTGGGGGGGATGAGCCCCGGTCCCCCCGCCGTCCCCCCGGCCGCCGCACTGGACTCGGGGGGGGACACACAGCGCTTCGGGGCCCTCCAGAAGATGGGGAGGGGGCGGGGGTTTGCTTGGGAAGGCGCGGAGGAGGAGGAGGAGGAGGAGGAGGACGGTACCGAGCATCCCTGGGGAGCGGCCGGAGGATGCCCGACAGCCAGGAACCCGCCTTGCTCTCCGGTTTTGTGTGTGCCTGCTTCACGGGGCGGGGGGGCGCGGGCCTGTCACCCCCCCGGCCCCCGGGACCCCCGGCCACGCCGCGGGACCACCCCAGGGACAATCCGCCCGCCGTGTCCCCCCCGGCCCGGGCCTCCCGCTAACCCGCTCGCTCCATCGCCAGCACCCAGATAGCTCTGTTTGTTTGTTCGTTTGTTTTAAATATATATATATTATATATATATAAACATCCTTATTTATTTGGGGGTTTGGAGGGGGTCAGGGGCGTCATCACCGCGCTGCCGGTCCCGCCACTCCGGAGCTGAGGGGTTAAAACCTCCTGGAGAGCCTGACCCCAGTGGTGGAGCTGGACCATGCTGGTGGATGGGGGAAATGATGGAGGGGAGGAGGGAAGGAAATTAGAGTGTCCGCCTCTCCTTCTCTGTGATTCCCAGTGGGATTTCGCAGCCTGGGAAGTGGGAGGAAGGCGCTGCTGCCATTTGAAGCATCTCAGGATGAGAACAATCGTCTTCACATTCCCTGCCAGCCACAGGGCTGTCCCCCCACCCTTAAAATGGGGTGACAGTGTGGGAGACCCCAAAAATGAGACTGTGCTGGACCAGCCCTTCCCCATTTGCCCTTTCCGCCCCCCATTTTCCTGCTTTCACCCCAGGATCCAGGCGAGATCAGTGCTCCCAGATTGGGACAGCCTGTTGTCCCCATGAGAGACGTGACAACCGTGGTGGCAGGGATGAATCAGGGTGTCCCCAATCCCACACAGCTGGGTGAGTGACAGGAATGCTGCCATCCCACATGGAGCCATCCGTCTGTCCATCAGCGGGGTGAGTGAGTGTGTGCTATAATTGGGATGATGAGGATATTTTGGGAAAGGAGGCGGCGGGGGGGGCGATTTCGGTCACTCGGGGGCTCTGTTATTAAAGGTCACCCGCACCAGAATGATCCCAGCGTGGTCTCAGCCTTCACCTCGGGACGGGGTGGCAGGGACAGGGTGAGGACGGGCACGGCTCCCACCACCCACTGGTGTCACTGGGGCTGTCACCCACTGGTGCCACTGCTGGGGAAGATTCAGGTGGGAAGAAGAAACCTGGTGCAGTTATTCTGTCCTGGATAACCCTGAGGGGGATATCAGGATATCCAGCCCTTGTGCCACAGAGCATCGGGACGTGTCACTCCGTGAGTGGACAAACAGCCGGGACAGGGGACACTAGGTGGTCCTGGGGAAAACCGACGGGAATAGAAGGAACAGCAGACCTGACGGCAACCGGGTGTCCCCACTGTGGGAAAACTGTCCCCTAGGGAAGAGGACAAGGCACGGTGTGCTGTAGGACAGGTAGGAAAGCAGGGCGCATGGGTTCCCCCTGCGAGCCCACATGGGGGAGAAATAAAACCACCTGTTTTTCTTTTTATTTTATTTTTTTTTTTTTTTAAATTCCCGCTGGGCAGGTAAAACCCACCCTGATCTGGTTGTTTTCCCTCCAGCCCCTCCCGCCGGTGGGATAAAGCCCATCCCAAATCCCATCCCGGGGCCCGTTCCCGCTCCCAATTCCGGGAGGTGGCGCTGCCGCGGCGCCCGAGGGGGCGTGGCCAGACGGCTCGGGGGCGTGGTCTATCTGTGACGTCATGGATTTGGGCGGGGGTTGTGGCGCCGCGCGCCCTCGGGTTCATTCATAAGGAGGAGGCGCGACCGACGGGGCCGCCCCGGGGGGAGCCCGGGGGCTCCGCGGCGGGGACAGGTAGGGGACACCCCCGGCACAGGAACCCCCCTCTGCCCGGGGGGAGCTCGGGTTATTCCCCCTTAGGGGATTATTCCCCCGTGGCGGAGTCTGGGGTTGAGCTTTCTGCAGCTTTGGGTTGTGCAAGGAAGGGGGGTCTGGCGCTTTTTGGGATGCTCGACCCCCTCTGTGCCCTAAAAAAGGTGTGCGGTGTTTTTGTCTTGGCCTTATCCCTAAAGCAGGGCGCTGGGGGAGCTCCTGGAGCCTGCAGTGGGGTGCGCTGGGGAGAGCCCCGCGGGTCCGGGAGGCTGCGGCTGCTGCAGCGCCAAAGTAGGTTAAAATAAAGGGTGGAGAGGAGAAAAAGTAGGTTAAGGAATACTCAGCAGCAGCTGCCTGGGGAGAGAGGCAGGAGCCGTATCGGGTCTCTCTTTATATTTTTTTTTTATTTTTTATTTTTTTTTAAATTTTTTTCCCGGAGCTGGAAAACCCCAGGGCTCCGAGCCAAAGGGCCGGGGATGCTGCGGGATGCTGCGGCGCGGGGCTGCACCCCGGCACGGGGCCGCTGCCGGGGCTGGGCGCCGTCCCAGCGCTTCCCCCGGGATCATCTGACTTTTAAGGCTGGAATTTAGCGGCGGCTGGGTTGTTGCCGCAGCTCCGATGGGACCCGGGGCTGCGATAATGCCGAGTTTCGCTCCATCTGCCGGACAATCCCCTCCTTGTCCAAGGCTGTCTCCAGCAGCTGTTCCCCAAAGTTTTCCCGAACAGTTGCTGCTTTTTCCCTGTGTTTGTCTGCAGGAGCCGTCGGCTGAAACCCTGTTCCCCCACGGGGAGGGGAAGCCCTCGCTGGAATCCCAGCGGGCAGTTTTAGGTTACAAATTGAATTAAGGGGGGCCTCAGGGCTCATGTGACTCGGAGGGATCTGGGGAGGTTTCCAAAACCAAGTTGCCTCTTCTGGTGTGTTGGTATTGATTTCACCAGCCAGGTGGGTACGGGTCTGGTGGAGCTTGGAGGGTCCCCAAAAGCAGCCAGGTCTGGCACTGGTGGGGTTATTTTTTGGTCTCCTCTGGTTCTTGGAGGGGCAAATTCTGTCGGTTTTAGGAGTGTATCAGGGCAGCTGGGCTTCCCAGCATCACCAGCTGAGGGTTTGTGCCTGCATACCCCATCCTCACTTGGGATGGCCCCGAGCTGCCCCCAGAAATGGGTGCTGAGTCCTGGGCAAAGCTTCAGTGCCAACCAGGGGCTGGCACCCTCTGGTCCCTGCACCTCCTGCATCCCTATGGCAGCGTTTTGTTCATCTGAGGGATGTCCTTAATCCCTGGATTTAGTTTGGCATCGGATCATCTTTAGCCTTGCTCCTGGTGATGTTTAGATCCAGTTATGATGATCTGGAATGCTCTGGTGAGCCGGGATGCTCGTGGTCCCTCAGCCACGGTGGGACCTTCATATCCCCTCCTGATGCCACTTTGTCCCCAGCAGAGCTGGTACCCAGACATCTCGGTGTGTCCCTAAAGTGCTTGAATTCCACAGCTCCAGAGAATTAAAACGCTTCACGTTAGGTTTAAACCCGAGTTTTATCGGATTACAGGGTGGAGAGCTCGCACGGGTACCAGCATCCCTTTGTGCTCGAGGGGCACGTCCCAAATCCCGGGGGATTCAGGAGCTGGGCTGGCCGGCTGAAGAAGTGCTCCTGTACTGGGAGCTGCTGGAGGGAACTGGAGCACGGGGGTGGCTCATTTGGGGTTCTGCCATCGTGTCCCAGCTCACGTCCTAGAACCACCTGGCTCAGCCCCGCTGGCCCCCGGGACCCCTCTCACGAGTAATTAGCTGCATCTCGGGGTGGTGCTGGTCGCTAATTAGGAGACACTCGTCAGGCACAGGCTGTAATGAAGCTCTGCCGGGGCTCCCACAGGACCGTGACGACCGGGGGGGAATTTCCATGCGGGTGGCAGGATTTCCATGCAGGCAGCAGGATTTCCATGCGGAGGCTGGATCCGGGTTTGGGTTATTATTTATTTTTTTTCCTTCCTTCCCCTGTGCTGTCAGCATAGATTTTAATTTTAACAACCAATTGCTGAGCCTGAAGAGGGGGGATGAGACTTGGGGAAAAACCTCTTGTTTTGTTCGAGTTTTTTTTAAATATTTTTAAAAAAATTTTAGTGACTTCATTTCCTTGTGACAGATGCAAAAGGATTTCCTCTGGAGCAGGAAAAACCTTTCTTTAACTTTGTTTACCATCATCTGCTCCTTGCATGAATGGTGTGACTCCACTGCTGAGGTTGGTCCCTCTCCAGTTTGGGATGAAGCTTGGGATCTCCAAGGAAAGGGGTAATGCTGGGCATTCCATAAAATCTCTAAAAAAATCTTCGAGGGATGGTTCAGAACTGCTGCTGTAGGGATATTTAGGCAGATGTCTTGGAGCATCCCAGAGGGGAGAAAAAAGGCCCCCAGATTAATTCTCCCGTGGGGTTTTCCCTGGATAATGACCACAGTGCTCCCCCTTGGGCAGGTCTCCCTGGGTGATGAAGAGGAGCAGGATGCACTGGTGGTTGGTCACTGTCCTGGGGGTGAGTATGGCCTCGTCCATCCCATTCCATCCCATCCCTCTGCTTCTCTGATGCTCAAACACCACCCCATCGCCGTTTAGGACATGGGGATGGGTTTGCATCCCTCGTGGTGCATCCAGTGAGTTCAAATCCCTCATCCCACTGGAGACAGGCCGTCTGCTGGCTGTGGGCCAGGCTAGAGCGTGGCAGCAATGGCATCACCCGTGACACGGTGGCATCTGCCACCGTGCCACCGCCGGCAGGGGAGCCGCAGCAGCCGGCCCTGAGCTCTCTGATGCTCCCCCAGGTGCTGAGCAGACCTGCCCAGGAGAGCTGCAGTGCCCCGGAGCAGGGGACAGCGGGATGCCCGCCCGGAGAGGAGCCCAGCGGGGTAAGCCGTGCCCACCCGCGGCAGCTCCCCCCGGAGGGACGCTGCGGGACCCGCCCATGGCTCATCCCCTGTTCCTCACCGCAGGATCCAGCGGGGACGTGCCGAGCTTGTCCCCCCGGCACCTTCTCCCTGGGGAACGCGTCCTGCGCCGCTCACACCCAGTGCCGGGCAGGGAACAGGGTCCTGGTGACAGCGGGGACCGCGGCGAGCGACAGCCGGTGCGGAGCCTGCCTGCCGGGGTGAGCCCAGCCGGGGGACGCCGAGCCCCAGCCCTGCCCTCGCTCGGGGGTCCTGTCCTGACCTTCCCCTCCCTTCCCGCAGGTTTCACAGCCCTGGAGGGGAGAGGGAGCCCCGGGGCCGGTGCCTGCCCTGCGCCGCCGCTCCCCGCAGCACCCCGGGGTGCCCAGGTGGGTGCTGGAGCCGGAGGTGTCACCCCAGGGCTGGAGGTGATGGAGGAGCTTGTGCCGGAGATACCAGAGGATGTGTCCCCCTTGGGATGTGGCACGAGGTCCTGCTGGGATGTGGCAGCTGAGGACACCTCTGCTCACGGCACAAGGAGCTCCTGCTTCCCTGGGGTCCAACCCTGGTGCAGGGCTCCTGGGGAAATGGGGTAGAATCCCAGCCAAGCCCCTCTGCGAGGCTGATCTCGTTCCTCCCGACAGGCCGGCGGCGAGCCCGCAGCCCCGAAATGCCGGGCAGGGCACCGGGAGCCAACGGGACACGAGTGACCCTGCTGGGTGAGGAAGAGGAGGAGGCAGCAGCAGCACAGGCAGCCGTGCTGACCGTCGTCCCGGTCTTCTGTGCCATGGGATTGCTGGGAATCCTGGTCTGCAACCTGCTGAAGAAGAAGGGTTATCACTGCACTGCCAGCAAGGAGCCCCAGCCCGGCGGCACCGGTGAGCCCTGGCTGTGCCATGACACCTTTGGTGATCCCACATCCATCTCTTCTTGCTCAGGCCGTTCCTATGGTTTCTTGTACTCCTTGTCCCAGGGCATCCTGCTTGTCCTTGGGGTGCCTTGTCCCCCATCACTGAGTTTTCCTTAACTTTTGCTTCCAGGTCCCAGCTCCATCTACCAGCTGGAGGATGCCAACGAGGACACCATTGGGGTGCTGGTGCGGCTGATCACCGAGAAGAAAGGTCAGGGGTCCCTGGGAAGGGGGAGGAGGGGGTGACCTGGGCCACAGCCTCGTCACCCCCGACTCCTTGGTGTCCTCCCACACACAGAAAATGCAGCGGCACTGGAGGAGCTGCTGAAGGAGCATCAGAGGCAACAGCTGATGCCACCGAGCTGTGCCCCCCTCAATAAGTGAGAGTCCCCTAAGGCTGCACTAAGAACCCCTCATGGTGGTACCACCCCCAGGCTGACGGCATTTCCCCCCTCCCCAGGCTGCACCTCCTGCCTCAGTTTCCCCCCACCTGCCACCACCAGCAGCACCTGCACACGGTGCAGGGACCGGCCCCGTGTGCCCGCTGTAGCCAGAAGTGGCCCGAGGTGCTGCCATCGCTCAGTGCCACCAAAGTCCCCAAACCCGGAGCTCATCCCAGCGAGGTGACCATCCTCTCCATTGGCAGGTAAGCAGGGACAGGCCCCTGGCGTGTGTTCCCTCTGCGCGGGGGGACAGGCTGATGTGATGCTCCCCAACAGGTTTCGGGTGTCCCGGATCCCTGAGGTGAGGAGCGAGGCGGGGGCTGAGCCCTTCCGTGGTCCCCTCCCCGCCGGCAGCGGGATGTGACCCCTGTGATGGAACAGCACCACCGGTCCCCACGAGGTGAGGATGGTGGGGAAAGGGGTTCTGAGGGCTGGAAAATGAAGCACGAACGCCGTAGGGACATAGTAAGGCGGGAGGGAGGGGGTGTCCCTTGCTGCAGGGATGATGGAGGGTGCTGGCAGGGCCTGGCACGGGGTGGCACAGCTGGGGGCTGCTCCGTGACTCATGGGCAGCTGGACGGGCTCACGTGCCCTCGCTCACATCCCCGTGTCCCCTCCTCCAGCAGCACTGCTGCTGTGACCATCCCGCTCTGAGTGCCTCCTGACATGGACATGGAGGGGCTGGAGTGTGTCCAGGGAAGGGAAAGGAGTTGGGAAGGGGCTGGAGAATTCCTGAGGGAGCTGGGGAAGGGGCTGTGCTCTTAGGGAACAGGGACAGGAGGAGAGAGAACAGCCCCAACAAACTGTGCCAGGGGGCGTTTGGGTTGGGTGGTGACAGCCATGGATGAGTGACACCAAGTGGCTCCATCCCGGCTCACCTGTGGTCCATCCCTTGTCCTTCACAGCAGGCAGCTGGCCTGGGGGCTGCCTCAGGGGTCAGTGGCACCCGCAAGGACCCCGTGGAGGAGATGGAGGACACTGGGCATCGTGTGCAAGCCAGTCCTGCTCAGAGCTGCCAAGCGCTGGAGGTGGCAGCTCAGCTGCTGCTCCTGCCACCAAGGTGTCCCACAGCAGTGCAGCAAATCCAGCGTCTCGCTCGGCTGGTGAGAAGGATTCTCTGTCCCTGAGGCCTGATGGTGGCCACGACCTGGTGGCCTGCTAGACAATAACTCCAGGAGCTGCGACGCCAGTGCTGGTGGCCACAGGAATCATCTTCTCTGGGAACCGTGATGCCACAACACAGCTCCACTGGAAGCACAGAGGACACTGGGTGCCGTTTCATGGTCACCCTCTGGGTCTGTTGAACTGTCCAGGACCATCATGAACTTCTGATTTCCCTCCATCACCTGGTGCCAGCGCTCAGCATCACAGAATAATGAATCACTGGATCACGGAATGACTCCTCCCTTCCCAACAACCCAGCTGGGGCACAGACTGCTCTGGGCAAAGCTGGTCTCCTGCATCCATCCATCCATCCATCCATCCATCCATCCATCCATCCATCCATCCATCCTCTCTCCAAAGTCTTAGTTCAGGAGGACATGGTGGTGATGCTCACCATGAAGATCACACATTTTACTTTCCATAGGAATTGCTTGTCTTGGCCATGTTGGGATCACTGGGAATAACCCACCCAAGGTTGGGTTGGAGACCATCAACCCAAAAATGGGTTTATGGCTGGTCCCATTCACCTCTCCACAACATGACAGTGCCAAAGAACCGACCACCAAACCCTCTCGGGCTCTTTTATTTATTTATTTAATTTTTTTTGGAAACATTTTAATAGTTATCGAATGTTCTACATCTTACAGTAAATATCGTACAGTTACAAACTCTTGGCTGAAATCTGTCAGGGAGATCACGACCTGATCTTCAGAATCAAAACCAGAACAGAAAACAAATGGGAAAATAACCCCAAATTTACATTTCAGATGGACAAACTGTGGCTGTGGGGCTCTCCAGGGCATCAGTCCAAGGCCATGTTCCCTACACACCTGTGAGATGTAGACTTGGAAGACGTGGTTACTCTTGGGTTTAAAGTTTTTTTGTTGTTGTTCTTTCAGGGATTTTTTTTTTAATATTTATTTTTATTTAAGATGTCCAATAATACTTAAAAACGAGCTGGTCTGACGTTCGAAATTAATTTAAAATTAATTTAAAATTAATTACATAGAGGAGTGGGAGCCTGGTGTGGGTTGAGGCCATGTTGTGGGAATGGGAGGGTTTGGGTGTGATCCTGCACCTTGCCATGCTTCCCTACAAATCCTTCCTCTGATCCTGAACCCCTTAGCCCCCAGGAAAATTCCATCTCTTGCAGGAGGATGCAGGGAGGCTGCAGGTGGCCATGTTGCATCAAGATAATTCCCTACAAGCAGCACAATCGAGCGTTTGCAAATGGGAATCGCTCCTGTCAAATCACATATTTTGCTATTCCTGCCCTGCTAACAGTCCTACAAGTTCTTTTACCTGATTGCCAGACAATCTCCAAGGGCCATGGTGCAACGTGCCACAGAAATGCCTTTTCCAAGATTTCTTCCCTCCCAAGCTCCATCACAGGCTTTATTTTCCTTTTTTCCCTAGGGGAATGCTAACACACAGCAGAGAAAATATTTGGAGGCTGATCCAAGTGAAGGGAAGATGGGAAGAGGGTCACCACAGTTTGGGGACAAGAGCTGGAGGGCCTGAAAACATTGGTAATGTAAAAAAAAGAAACCTAAACCAAAAATACCTGGATTTAGGGGTATCCAGCAGCTCTTATTGCTATTGTTGGCTGGTTGGATTTTACCAAAAGTAAAGCCTTAAATGTTGTTTTCCACCCCCTAAAATACCAGGATCCCATTTCATGCCCTCCAGCTGGGAACCAAATCATCTCACATTTCCTGTGGGGATGCAGGAGGGGATGGCAAGGAGTCAGGGAGGTCTCTCTGGGAAGGACCAGATTCAGTGGGATGCCAATTGCTAGAGGAAAACCTGATGCTCTGAACATTCCTCATTAAAACAAACCCTTAAATAACATTTCCTGGGAATTACATCCCAAAATTGCAACAGTGCTGAATTGAGTGATTTATTATTCATAAAATGCAGGAGCAGATCTTTGCCTGGAGGGTTCAGCCACTTGGAGGCACGATGGCCTCAGGCTTCAAGGGCCTCTTGGGGTTTGGGGGTCACCACCACCACTAAAATCCTATTTTCCCCCCCAAACCTCAGATCATCGCAGCTTGTGTTTTGAAGAAAAGGTAAGGGCAGGGATGGGTTAATGGTTCAGAGTTATTTTCCTTCCTCTTTAGTTGGAATTTTCATCTCAGACACTTTTGTGGCTGCTAAGGATGGTTTAACCCCTCCTGCTCTTCCCCACTAATGCCTGGTGTGATCCTTCCCCGTGGAAAACCCTTTTCCTTAACCAACATCAGCAAAGCTTTGCTGGAATGAAATATTTGAGAAGCTGGTGGCCTCCACCGGTGTCCCCCACTGTGACCTTCCCAGGACCCTCACTTAAGCCATGGCCTGACCAAGGGAAGGATTTGGGATGGAGGAAAGGGCAGGGAGCATCTCCCCACCACTGCAGCCCCATGAAGCCACCTTGGGAAGGAGCTACTGAAGCCTGGCACTGTGTGGTGACCCCAGAGCCGTGTGGTGGCCCTGGGTCACCAAATGTCCTCACTAAAGCCTCTGGCCTAACACGTGGCAAATACTTCACCTCTCTACACCTTGGTTAATGAGTATTTCTGCCTGGGAATAAGGGGATGAGGAGCACTGGACCTGCTATTGATCCAAGCAAAGGAATTAAAGCCCAACTGCCCTGTGTCAGTGGGAGCACTGGGTGATCCACCACGCTCGACTCCTGGGCTTTCTCCTCCACCGTTAATGTTTTTTTTTCCTTCCAGGAAAAAGCCCAACATCTCCTTTCCACACATAGGCCTAAAGTTTAGCAGTGGTTCCTAAAGTGGTGCAGGGTGTCTGGGACAGTGGTGGGATGATGTCTGCTGGGAAAGGTGGTTTGCAGAGCCCAGGCTGGGATCCCAAAGCTCGCTGGACCCCACAAACCAGAGTGCCATTATGTTGGGAGACCTGACTCAATGCTGACAGACAACTCCTGGTATGTAATACAAAGTCAACGTGAGAGGGGAAAACAGGGCATCTCAGAAGTCTTCAATTCTTAGGATTTACTGGGCATTTTTTGGCCCAAGTTTAACTGCAATGTGCTTCAAACAGTGGAAGCACAATGTGGTGGTGTTATTTCCCAAGGTCCTGTTGCTCTTTACTAATCCTTGGCTTTGCCAAGCCAAATGGGGCCCACTGATTATTGGCTCCTTTTCTCTTTTTTCCTTCTCCTGTCCCTCTACACAAACCTGAAGTCCAGCCCAAGGCTCCCCTTTCCCCACCCCACAGCACTGGTGTCCAGTCTTCCCCCAGTTGTTCCCCTTGAGGCTGAGGAGGTCAAGCAGAGCTTTGCTCTAGATTTCCTTCAAAACCAGCAGAATCAACCAAATGACCCCCAAACAGAAGTGCCAACACCCAACCTGACAAACCACCCGGGAGCAGCCAGTGGGAGGGAAAGTCCCCCTGGGATCCCTAGGCTTGTTTCTGCCTACCCTGGCCCATGCTCAAGGGAAGGAGCTCCAGGAGCTCCTCCCAGTGGTGGCAGAAGCTGAACTGGTTGACTCCACTGAGAGCATGGAACACTTTTGGCACACTTGAGGCAAGAAATCAAAATCCGACCACGCTTTTGTCTTAAAAAAAAACCACAATAAAATCCCAAAAACCTTGTTTCTACGCTGGGTTTAGTGACAAGGATTTAAAAACAAACTGGCCACAAGCATTGTCTGCAAATCCAAACTGCCTTTGTTGCCCTCAAGACAACTTATTGCTCTACTTGGACATCCCGAGGGGGATGTCACCAGCTTCCTGTCCACATGTCCCTAGGTAAGCCAGACCCCCCCCAAATGACCCTGATGCCCACAGCCTCTCTGTGCCTGGTGTCCTCCATCCTGGTCCATATCAACTGTGGATCACCTTCCCTGCTGTCACCTCTTCTCGGGTGCCTTCCCATGAAGAAGGCAACGTGTTTATTGCTATTGCTTCCTCCCTTCCCACTTCCCTAAGCAGAGCAGCCAGACATCATCCCCCTCCCTGGCCTTTTTCTATGGTGCTGGTATTTGTGCTTGGATGAATATTTCTCCTAGAAGTCTTGGAGCTGCGACCCAAGGAATGGGAAGGGGACACCTTAACTGCCAGGGCAGCAGCGTGGTTTGGTCTCAGCCCTGCCAACACCATGGATGCAAGGTGAAGCTATCCATCTTCCCTTTGCTCTGCCTTGAAGGGTCCTCTCCTTCGACCAGACACCCTCTTTTCCCACACCAGCATGCTCTGGAGGAGCTCCTCAGACCAAACCTTGAACCTGGAGAAGCTCTTCAGACCAAACCCTGAACTGAGAGAAGATCTCCAGATCAACTCTTGGACTTGAAGAAGCTCTTGAGCCCAACTTCTGGACATGTCCTTGCTTCCCTCAGCAGCTGCCCAGCACATCTCTGCCTGCAAAGAGCAGCTATGCAAGGAAGGAGCCTCCTTCTCCCCCACACTGCCCCAGGATGTGGCTGAGGGGGAGTATCCCGTTTTCCCAAGAGGTTCCAGATGCTCCCAGGGCACTCATCTTCCTGCTCCTCCCTTCCCATCACGCATGATCCATTTGCCCAGTTGGAAAAAGCAGACCAAAGACCCGCTGGTGACCAGTCCTCGTGCTTCCTAAGACAAGTGTGTTACGTCGCTAATTATATTTATATTCTCTTACTCCTACAAAAAGAAGGGATGAGTTCAGAATTCCACTGCAGATAATGCATTTATAATCTATCACAACAGCTATCTGGAAGACACCAATTTTCTTGTAATATGTTATGGAAGATTGAATAATTTATATTCTTCAACTAAAAATACCCAAACCAAATTGGAATAAGCCTGCCTACCAGCGCTGTGCTTTTCACATAGTACCCTGAACATCAACCACTCTTACTAGCCAAAAAAAATCTAGGCTCTTGTCAACAACAACGACAACAGAAAAATAACAAAAAGAACCCAAACAAACAAGAAGTGGGGGGATCTTTGCACCACTCAGCTGGGCAATGCTGGAAAAGTGAAGAGTCTGAGCTTTCAAATGATAGGACCGAAGAGAGAACTTGACTATTGCTCAGTGTCAGTATGTGTGTTACACAATTCATGTGGGAGGGGGAGGAAGGGGGGAAAAAAAGAGGCAGAAGATTAGAAAAAGCAGCTTTTACAAAAACCACTAAAGAATGCATAAAGTGACCTTTGCACTTTTTTTTTCTTTTGTTCTTGCAAACAGACGAGGCGCTGCAGCCCAGCGGCCACAGCACCGATGTAAGACTTGTGTAGTTGCATACAATGTTTGACTCCGGATCTGGAAGAGAGCAAATGCATTAAAAATGGAGTTAGAAGGATGTTCTCCTCCTCTCTGCAACCCTGTACCACGTGGAGCTGATCCATATGGAATTTAACCATCCCCGTGGGCAATTTCTCAGGCAAGGGAGCTGGGAAAGCAGCAGCTCACTGGTGGTATCCAATGCAGAGGATTACAAATATGCAGATGGGATGCTCCCTGCTAATTGCACACCAATTTAGGAGGGGCAGGATTAGCCCAGTAGTAATTTGTGTGGCACAGAGAGATTTTAGATAACCTCAGGGCTGGATGGGATCTCTGTGCAGCAGCATCGTGTTCCCATCAACTGCCTGTCCTGGTAATTGGGCATGATGGGCCAAGGGCTCCAGGAACAAGCAGCTGGGATTTCTGGGATCCTGAGCATGACAGCAACACACAGGTACAGGCACAGCAACCCTGGTGCTAATGAACAGTGTGATCTCCCAGCAGGGGAAAAGAAATATTCCAGTGACATAAAGATGGGGAGGGATGAATGTAGTGATAGGCTGGGCTAGTGTAGAGAGAGTAGGGCTGGATGGAATTTTGGGAAGCTATTCCTCCCTGTGAGGGTGGGGGGATGCCCTGGCACAGGTTGCCTAGAGAAGCCCCATCCCTGGAAGCGTGCAAGGCCAGGCTGGATGGGGTTGGAGGCTCACTGAGAGCAAGAGGCAGCACTCACATGGATTGGCCAGTGGTTTACCAGTGTGGAGGTACGTAGCTGTAGGTGGGGGTTCCTTGAGCCCTGTACGTTGGCACGGACACTGGATGTGCTCCGATGGCGGTGTGTTGGGGGGTGGTCAACAAGGTTCCTGCAGGGACACGGACACACACTTGTCATGGGGCACAGGAGGTGGCACCCGAGGGTACGATGCTCATCTGAGGGGCAGGAACAGCATCACTGCCTCCTTTTTCCTTTTCCATTTTCCCAGGTCATTCTTCTGCCTGCCAGACCTGATTCGAAGGTGTTGGACCCACGTGATTGGGACCAGCCAGCACCACAAAGAGAATAAAAACACCTGAAGCTCCAGCAGATTTTCCATCCTACGTCTGGCCCTTAACCTTAAGGGTTTTCCTTGCTTTTTTCCAATGTTCCTTGTTCCTAAAGAGCAGCAGCAGAGCTAGCAACGACCTGACATCTACCTGCTGAAAGCACTGGGCTTAACTGTAAATCACTGCAGAGATCTGAAACAAACTGGAAGGTATGAGGGATACATGGGCGATGAGGAAAAAATCCCAACACGTTTCCAGGGAAAATTGAGATGAGCTTTTTTTCTTTTTTTTCAGTCTGCAGCTGGTCAACAGAAGGATTTTAGGTCAGAATTTGCACAGTGCCTTCATAGGAAGGGAGAACACAGCCCTGGACTACTCTGTTCTGGGAGCAACTGGGTGCTCAAACTAAATTCTCGGTTTCTGGATATCTCTCTACAAATGTTATTAATGAAATTCTAACACATCCCACGTGCATTAATTACATTTATCCACTTCTCAATATAAGCAACAGTAATTCTCTCAGAGTGGCTCTTGTCACATCCAGGCTGCAATATCTCTGCTTGGAATAGGGATTGTCCCCCTTTGCAGACTGCTGTTTCACAGCTAATGCAGATGCAAAAGGATGAATGATGTATTTTGTGGCATAATTCAATATACAATCCTAAGAATTGTTAAGGAGAAAAATACAGGCTTTGGAAAAAATAAAACCAGCCCCTATCTTAATGAACTATCAATTAATGTGCTAACAATTAATTGCAGTAAGAATCTGCACATAAAATGTGGAGGAACTGGGACAGATAAAACAAGATTAGCATTCATTTTGTCAAACAAAAACATAACAGTAAGTGTCTTTAAAAAATGAGCTTGAGAAAAATACAACTGCTTGAGGATGGACCAACCCAGTTATTCCTTCACTTATGGAACAGACAGAGGAAAGAACAATATATTTATGGATACAGAATAATTTATCTAAAGATGCAGGAGTGAGCCAAACCAAAGGTCTCCTCTTCTGAGTCAGATCAGGATTTGGGGCAACCTACTGCATTTTTGCCTGCAAAGGAGCAGTAACCAGCGAGCAAAACCAGCGGGTGAGCAGTGAACACCCTGCGAGGCTGAGGCAGCACTCGGAGGAATTTTTTTTTGTCCAGAGGGGAGTTATTTTTTTTTTTTTTTGTCAGAGCACGGGGAGGGTTCCCTGCTTACCTGCTGACATGGCCATGGTGGTGCCAGCGACCATGCCCATGGCCACGCCGTTGGTGCGGGGCGCGGCCACCGGGGCCGGGTAGATGGCCGAGGGGATGCTGTTGGGCTGCACCACCGTGGTGTGGTGGATGACGTGGGGCTGGGCAGCGTACACGGGCTGGGTGTAATAAGCTCCCTGTTGGAAAAGGGGGGGGAAAAAAAAAAATTCCATCACTCCAGGTTCTTTTGCAACCTAACGAGTCCTTGATTGTGGAATTCAAGCGGTGCCCAAGGGTGCTGGTGGCTGGTGTTTGCCATGGATGAGCTCCTGTGCCTGGAGACCTGAACCTGTGGATGTGTGGAGTGGATGAGGAGGGAATCAACAAAGAGTCAATCCATCCAGGACAAACCATGCTGCCTCCCTTTGATGGGATGAAACAGGACACAAACAATTGCTGGCGCAGAAAAAGAAGAAAGGGATTGGAAAAAAGGACAAGCCATGGTTCTTGGATGATGCAAAGGTGATTTGGTCCAGGAATTGTGTCATCTTCTTGGGTTTCCAACAGGGCTCCAAAATCCAGGCTGCCAAGTCTCACAGGGTTTTGAAACAAGGGGAAAAGGATGCATGGGAATAAATGGGGGCAACAGAAAAAGTTTCACATGCAAAGTAATGAAAGGCCTGACATGAGGAGATGCATGAGGGAGAGAACTGCTGTCCCCAGGACAGGCAGCAACACTGTGAGGACCTGCAAACCAGGCACGGGAGGAAAGAAAACAAGGATTTGAATCAGCAAAGGGGAGATTTTACTGTGCATTAGTGAAAGCCATTAGAGAACCTCTGAAGGTCTGGATTAAGGGGAGAATGAGGTGCAGGGCAACAATTCCATCACTTGTTTCTTTCAGGAGCTACAACGGTTCACAGGACAAATGGCAGATTCTGTGGCTGGGGTCAGAGAAGAGCCAGTGTGCAGGTGTGGGTTGGGCCCCAATGGTTTATTCAGTTCCTGGTGACAGTGGAGCAGTAAGATGCTCCAGTCTTAGCAAGGCACAGGGAAATCCCTCCATGAGATTGTAGCTGCTGGAAAAGTTGAATAATCAAGATAAAAGAGGAGGAGAAAAGCCAGGGAAAGTTGTCTTACATTGCTCCGAGCAGCTGAGGATTTTCAGTGGGAAGGGATATCAAGGTGATACCGGCACCTCCATCCCACTGAGCTGGAGCTGCTTGGCCAGAGAGGCTTGCAGGAAGCTCAGGTTCTGCTGGGGCATGGCTGAGGGGCCGGGAGGTGGCACCTACCTGGGTGTACAGGTTCTGCTGTGGGTAGGCACTTCTGATGGGGTACATCGCGGTTTGGTAGGGGTTCGGAGACGGCGAGTAGGGAGGAGGGGCGTTGTTACTCTGGGTCGGTGGCACCTTGTAGGGAGTCCCCGCAGTGTACCCTGCCAGACACAAGAGGGTCCCAGTCAGGGCCTGGAATGGCTGCTCAGGGCTGCCAGGAGGTCTGGGAGAAACCACCCTGTCAGCAAATGGGCCCCGAAGACCAACTGTGAATCTCCCCAAGTGTGGCTCAGCCCAAGCAAAACACTCAAATATAATTAATTTATTTACTCCACCGGTGTTCAGCAATTAGAGAAAGCCAAGATTGCAAGTCTAATATCCAACATCATCCTCCAAGCACTGAAACAGTGCAAAGAACACACGGAGCTTTTAGCAGCTCCCAAATATCTTCTCACCCCCTCCTGATTACTGCAGATTGGAAAAATAGGTGTTAATTAACAAAGGGAATAGCTGTGACTTTTTTCCTCACATTACTAGGAGAGCAACCATCTTTGAATGAGAAGTGGACAAGGTTTGAAATATTGATCAGTGCAGAAATGATGCCTCCTTCAACAAGACTCCTCCAGAAACTCGTCACCCAACCAACCTCCTGTTTTTCCATCGAATGGATTTTTTTCCTCTATTCTGAACTCATTTTTTTCAAACAAAGACCTCAGAGGCTGCCAGTTCTCAGCATCACACTTCATTTCTGAGGGGTGTCTAGAGGTGTGGACCTGCTCAAGCTGCGTGGTTTCACCACTTGGAATACCAAGGCTTGCAGTTGTTTCCTGATTGATGAATCACGGACAATTTATCTCCTATATTAAAAAGGTATTAAAGATAATAACCCAGGCAGATGTAATCTGCTGTGTTTATAAACTGGGGAAAAAACAGAACAACCTGCAGGTAAAACAATGTGAAACCAAGGTTTAATGACACAAGATGATGGAGGCTCCTCTCTGTCTGGCAGATAATTTTAAAACCTAATTATGACTAACACCTTATTAGGATTAGGCTGGCGTGGCCCGTGCTGCTGCCGCTTTGTGGTTCAGCAGCAGCAAGCCTTTAAGCTCCAGCTTCTATTAAAATTGCTGATTAAATCCCTCATGTCACTCGAGAAATCTCAGCCTTATTGATCCTGCAGCTCACAAGTGCCCTGGATTGCACAGAAATGTTTTTCTATAAAAGGCTGCTTGGAGGGGAAAAGAGCTCAGTGGGGAATTTTGTGTTGCCATCGCCGCTTGTTGCCAGGGTTCACCACAAGCAGGATTCCTCAACTGGGCAAGGAACTGACTGATGTCCACATCCAGATTCTGCCCCTCTGCCTCCCTCAGATGAGACCCCATCTGCAGAGCTGCCTCCAGCCCTGGGGCCAACAGCAGAAGGACGTGGAGCTGCTGAAGCCAGTCCAGAGGAGGCCAGAGATGCTCCGAGGGCTGGACCGTGCCCGGTGTACAGCCCCTACCCCAAGGAATGGTAGGTACATCCCTTTTCCAAAAGAAAGTCTCCCAAAGGGTTTTTAAATATTTCTTTTTAATAACTCTTTAAAATATATATATATATTTCTTCCTCTCACCTTGCTGTGGAATTGATTTAATTTAGTAGGAAAAAGGAGTCTGGAGTAGCTGGAAGGTGAAGAACACTCTGACCCCATGCCACTCATGCCCTAGATTTAGCAGGGAACAGTCAGGCAGGAGCCAGAGGACACTCCACATACCAGGGAAAGCATCCCAGGGTTTATCAGGGAGCTTATCAGCCCTCCTGGAGGCACTACTTATCCTCTTCAGGGATGAGATGACAAGGCTGCACTGGAAAAGCCTGTTTGACTGCAATCACTAAACAGCATCTCCTCCCCCTGCTCCTGCTCAGCCAGCCTGGGTCACAAGGTGGGAGTTTCAACAGTGTGCCTTGAAAATCAGGCTTTATTTTGGAATTCTTTCCATTTTAAGGGAATGAGGAATAATGTCCCTTTGGAGATAAACAGCTGTGAATAACCCCAGGTTGCTCCCAGGGATCAAACACTCAGCTAAGAGAGAGGTTTCACCTTCTCCACTGGAATTCCTCTGCAGGAGCAGCAGGAGGGTCAGTGCTCTCCTTTTCATGATCCTTCACGGTTTTAATCCATCAAAGCCAGGTTGGATGGGGCTTGGAGCAACCTGGTCTAGAGCAAGGTGCCCATGGAGGTTGGAACAAGATGGTCTTAAAGTCCCTCCCAACCCAAACCAGTCTTTGATTCAGTGATCCCAAATAACTGTCCACAAATCGAGCCCCAGCATGGGAGGCAAACAGGCACAAACCAACCCAGTAAAAGCCCAGAAGGAAAGGTTTATTTACTGAATGCTGCAGAAGAAGCCTGGTAGGTTCTGTTCTCGGTGCCGGTGTCCACCGGGAGGTGGAAGGTGCCCTCGGTGGCACAGGACGAGGAGGTCTGGGGCCAGGCCTGCTTCATCAGAAGTGTGGCTTGAGTGGAGACAGAGAACAGGTGTCACACAGAGCAGTGAGGAACAGCTTCCCACACTTATGTCACATTGGAATCACCTCGCTAATCTCTTCCCCTCAAGATCCTACCCCCATGGAAGGGACATCACACCTTGTTCAGGGTTTGGAAATCTTCCTGGAGTCCCAAGGCTGAGCAAAGATGTTTCACACCCTCCACATCTGCTCAGACTGAAGGTACAGCTGTAAATCTGGAGTGTCACAGGGCTGGAAGTTGGCAATGAGGGATTGAGGAGGGTGAGGAGGAACTGGCAGTGGGGGAACAGCCTGCAGCAGCACGACACATCCTAGTGGATGCAAACCCACTGCTGCAGGTCTGCTGCTCCACCAAACCCTCCTGAGACTCTCCTGCACCCAAACAGGAATGGGGAGCATGGAGGACACTCAGCAGTGCTGCTTTACTAGCCATTTTCAGCTGTGGGAGATACTCATGGGTGTGAGATCCACCTGGATGCTGCTCAACTGCTGGAGATGTGGAAACCTGCTCCTCCCTCCTCCTCCTTCAACAGAAAACCAGGAGGTTTGTGGGAAGGCAGAGATTCAAGCCCAATTTCTCCTCTACTCAGTGACTGATCATTTTCTGCTCCAAGTCTCTGCCCTCTCCCAAAGGTTTGGGAGTTATTAAGGATTTCCAGGCTGCCTTGCTTTATTTTCCATGGTAGGCTGCACTCAGGAACATCACACCAGAGAGCAACTCCCAGCACTGCGACAGAAACATTCCTTCACTTGTGCTTTTATTCAGAATCAGATTCACTTTTGCCTCTGGATTTCACAGAGGTTTTAATCTCTGAGACTGATGAGACAATTCATTCCAATGTTACACGAATCCTTCCTCTGTGCTTTTCCCTCTCCACATTAAACCTGCCACAAAAATCAAGGCAATTTGGGTTGGAGAGGGCTGGGAGATTGCCATAGCTCTGCATGTTCTTTATTAAATCATGGATCCTCAGAGACTCCATCACTTAAAACTACACAAAAGGTGGATCAAGGAGGCTTCCAGGAACATTAATGCCTCCTGGTCCTTTGCAATAATCCACAGGGATCACAATCCAGCCATGACTATCTAATATCATTTCATGGCTATCTCCAATCTGGATTTGGTTTATCCTCTCACCCAAATATAAATAAAACAAAGAGTTTTTATTCATTATCAAATTAATCCCTGGCAAATCAACCAGTGGTAACTGAGCAAACAATGTAAGCTGTGGGTCTCTGCAGCACTGGGACTGCTCCTTTTTCCTGACAGGACCTTTAGATGAGGTGGGAGTGTTCAGGACATATTTGAAGTGGAAAAGACAAAAACATGAACCCTTTCAAACCATTGCTTCTCTCTGACAACCTCATTTGTGATGGATACAGCCTGTAGCCTTGAATGAAGTTTGTAATAAGCTGAATTCCCCAGGCAGTCCCGTGCCTGAGTGCCTCAAAACAATGGGAACATTTATCCTTGGAAAGCCTCGTGAAGCACTATAGGATATTCATGTCTCCAGACCCCACAACACCCCTTAGGGGACCCACTGGTGTCCCCAAAGGGTTGATGGCACCTCTAGAGGATGGTTCAGAGCACTGCTGATGCTCCAATGAGCCTTTCCTCTGGGCAGGATCCAGAAGCAGGAATGGAGAATTGGAGCCTTTGTCCTGTGCCATGACATTCCCACACAGATCCCTAATTTCTGAGGCTGATTTTAGCTCTGCTCTGTAAGGGCACTACAGCAAAGCCATTACTTCTGCCCTACATTATTAATAAACACAGCTCCAGCCTCAGCCAGCCTCCACGAGCAGAGTGTGTGTCCTACTTTCAGGAAAATAAAAAGGGAAGCTTTAATGAAGGAAGTTAAAACAAAACAACCAAGAGGAAGATAGAATGCCTGCGAGGGAACATGCACCAGGCTTAATGAACACATACATAATTTTATTTTTTTTTAATTGTGTCTCTGCAGCAGAGTGAGTTTAGATGCTCATTTGTGCATACTTAAAAGGGATTCTTTAAGAACAGTGTCCTAAAAAAACAGGCTTATTGCAAGTCTGAGTTTGCAATGCTGGTGTTTTGCCTTGTGTCCCTCCCCCTACAAATGGTGGAAAAATGCAGCAGGAAAATCACACAAGGCAGCAACTTGAAGTGGAATGGAAAGGAATTGACAGAATCACAACACATCCTGAGCTGGGAGGGATCAACGAGGATCATCCAGTCCAACTCATGCCCTTGCTTGTAGGGCTTCTTGGAATAATCTCAGGAATAATTTAACACCTTTTGGGCTCAAACACCAGCAAATATCCATTAAAAACCTGGCACTGGGAGAGGGATAAATCAAGACTGGCTTCAGTTACCATCTCCCTTTACTCACTGGAGGACTGGACCAAGGGGACTCCAGACTTCTCCAAGTTCCTCTCCTTGTTTCCTTCTGATGCTGTCACAAAGCTTTGGTCACAACATCATTTAATCTCCCATGTGGATCCCAGGATTTTGGGAACCACGAGGTGAAGAGAAGAGCAGGAGCATTGCTGACTTGCAGTGAGGCATCAGGGAGTGTTTGGAGAACATCAGGGACAAAAGTGGGTGGGATTTGAAAACTGGAATTATCTTTGCTCAGGGGTTGATTTTGCATGGAATCCAGCAAAAATCAGGAGGTTTGAGGCAAGAGACATCTGCGAGTGAGCAGGAGCATCTTTAGGGTGGAGCAGAGAGGGTGACTGAGCTGGGACAGAATGGTTCTGTCCAAGAGACCTTGCTTGCAGTTACATCCCAAGAATTCAGAAAGCACAAGCTCTTCCCACTCTTCCCAACCTCTATTCCAAGCACTGTTGAGGGGAATGTTTCTCTGGTTAATCTCCATATGGAGAATCAGATAAACCCTTGAATTGTGGTTGCTTTTTAGTGAGCTGGAGGGATTTCTGCCAGCAGGTACCACCTCCTTCCCAGCCTGGGAGCTTTGGAACAGGACCTTGTCCATGGATGGGATGTTCAGGAGCAGTAATTCTGCTGGGAACATGCAGCATCTCTTTCTTTTTTAGACTCAATGTCTAAAATCCCTTAAAAACACATTTTGAATGAGTCTGCTGTTTCAGAAGTCCAAGATTTTAACTCCCAAGCTGATTCCCAGTGTGTTTGAAGGACACCAGGAGCACATTCCTCCCCAGGTTTTTTCCAGCCTCCTGTGTGACAGCAGCTCCTTCAATTTGAGGAAACACTCTCTGTACTGATGAAGGTTTTAACTCAGCCACTGAACCACAGAATTAGCTCAGCCCAATTCCATTTAACACAGTTGAGGATGCTGTCACTCTGTCACATGTCCCCACTGCTGGGAGATTTTATGGCACTTATTTTCCATCAGTTAGCTCTCAAAATCTCTTATTTTTTTTCCTCCTGGAAGTCTGCTTTCCATTGACCACTGAGAGACCACTGAGTGTGGTGCTGGGAAGTCCTGAGCAGCAAAGTCTGCTCCTGCTTCCCAGAGTGGTTAACATGGTTTAATATCATGCTGTGATATTAAATTGTATTGACTTCAAGAGCTGTAAAAATTGTTTATAACAGAACTACAGAATGGTTTGGGCTGGAAGGTACCTTAAGGACAATCCAGTTCCAACCCTGTGCCTTGAACAGGGACACCTTTACCTAAACCAGGTCTCTCCAACTTGGCCTCAAGATTTATGGGAAACTCTATAGAACTTTGAGCATTTTCATTCCAATTTTAATTTCTGAGTTTTAATCTTCATAGTTTCCTCACTAGTTCAGTGCTTGGCTGTGTTACCCACTGGAAGGTTTTCATTTTCCATGCAAAACCACCTGTCAGCTCTTTGGACATCAGGAGATTTCCAAGATGGAAATTATTAAATGGTGTCTAAGATGTACAAGAAGCAATGCAGACTCTCCCAGAAATCCCCAGCCTGCAGTGATTTGGGGTTTCCTCTCTCTTGGGTGTTCCCTTGGCCATCTGCCCTCTCAGTGGAGGAGTCACTGCCTGAATGACTGGGGACAAGTGACATTTTATAATATCCAGGCCAAAATGCTGGAATGCTGCAGTATTTACATTCCTGGCTGAGCAGGGAGAACATTGCCAGCCTCTGGCAGGACATGCTACTAATAAATTTATGGGCTTTTTCTTATCCTATGGAGTTGTTTTCATTTAATCCCTCCATTGTTTTATCCTTCAGGGGATTTTGAGGGTGGCCAGTACAAATCCAGGGGAACAAAAATTGTTTCATGTTCCATGTTAAGGCTTTAATGGGAAGAAATGCAGCTAAAGACCTTATTAAAAGCACATAAACCCAAACAAAACACAACAGATCTCTTCCAGAATCATCCACAATAAACAGTTTTATGGAATATGTGTAAACTGTGATG